AGCTTTGATGTCAGCCCAGTACATCTTCTCAAAATAAAGCCTTTCCACAACTATGATGCTTTCACCAATGGCTGAGAGAGATTATATTTCTTTTTATACATCTATTAGAAACCTAGGAACTGTTATTTATTATCATACATTGGTATACCGGTACTGTATCTACTTAAAACTGATGTATTTGGAATGTTTGCGATTGTATTCTAGATGATATTTACATGGTGTATATATATAAATACATTATAAAATGTGCCTGCAACTTAGCAAGATGTTCAATTTATTTTTTGCAGTATACCGTTTGTGAAGAGAGAAAATATATATATTATTTGCAAGCATCAAGTATCTCCTTGTCTTACTGACTTTAACTGGCAGATATTGTGATGTATACATTAGTGATAAGATGTACAAGAATCACACTGGAAAGTGCACAAACATAGTAATGGTATTGATATAGCTGTAAGTAATAATTACATGCAAGGAAGTCTTTCATTCTGTTTTTAAGGTTGATAATCCAGCGAGGTGCTTTATAGCTTTCAATGGTATAAAGAGAAGTATATGCAATAGGCTTGCATTGGTTGATATTTATTGAATTAAAGACGATGTGCACATATATCTTATACGTGAAAGAGAGGAGAAATGACACCACATTAAGACCACTATGGGCATGGAAGTGATAGAAAGAAATAATTTCTTTCACTATGTTCTATATTTTAGAGAGCGATTGTTCTTGGTTTTTATTCACATTGTTCTGGATTCTGTCAAAATGGTTTTACTCTACTGGATTTTAATTTAGGGTATTAATTTGTTTTGATTGTTGTTTTACTATAGATTTTAAAATGTTATAGATATCATATATTTCCTCTTATCTTGATCACAGTTGGTATTGTCTTTAATTTGGACTCAATGGCAAACCCTGACCACGTCTTTCCTAAGCATGTCGTTACTAGAGGTTCTTAGAAGGACTTTGCACGGTTGACAAACTACTGATGATTATAATTAGAGTTCTTCCACTCTAGAAAATATTAGATATATTATGTTTATATGGACTGAACTGATTTGTCAGCATGTGTGTTTATTGGTTTTATGTAGGGACTCAAAATGTTTTAAAGTGAATGACTTTAATATTGCTCGGTATGCCAGCTGTATATATCATAAATAGAGTTTATAGATAAACTTGAGTTCTGGTAAATATAGAAAATAATTTTTCACAGATTCCAACAAAACTTACTCTGAATGTGGGAAGATTATAAACAACTTGTGCCAACAAATGTAGGTAGAAAATGTAAAGTGGCCGAGTAATGAGCATAGAAAGATAAGGGAATCCGGATAAGTACGCCCAACACCATGTGCTTAATTATTAACCAGGTCACTGTGCAAATGGGAGTTGTGGTTTTTATCGAAGATGATGCCCAGTAAGGTTTAGTGCATTTGTTTTTATCTCACTGGTTCAATCTACTGCAGGATAAACAAATAAATTGTAGCAATTTTCACTCAAAATACGATTCCCATACCAGAGCTCAAGATTAGCTTTAATGAACCTTGTAGATTACATTGTTTGATTTAATACAATTCAAGCCATTGTCATATAACTTTAGAACTTCAAAAGTTTGTTGCATGGTGATTTGGGACAAGGGCAAAATGATGAACTAATTCCTTAGCAAAGTACCCGTTAGAAATTCTCTGATCAAATTTCCTCATCAACATTTGATGCAGTTCATCTTGTAATTTTTTTTTCTTTTCTTACAAATGGAAATTTGAATTACATATTTTGAAAGTGCCTTTGTCAAAATGTTTATGTTTGTTGCAAATTCAGATTTTTAATTAAATGTCAACAGTAATTCCTATTTCTCTACAACTCAAATGCTGAACATAATATATTTGACACATGCTTCAGGTATGCACAAGTTATATTTATATTTAGCCTTGTTGTCCTGTATATATGTTTTTCATTTATGCATTACATCAATCAATGTATCTTATAAAACAATGAATTCAGTATGTGATTGTTTTAAATAGTGCAGGATCAATGTTCATTGGAATGTTTGGAAGGGCTTTGTAATGATTCTGGTCTAGATTTGTATAGATAAATTCATTGTGATTTTAAGTGTAGACCATTCGGACATAAAGACCGTGGTCACCACTGTTCTAACACCAACGATGATTCTTGAGATGAAAAGAATTATAATCAATATAACCCTAAAATGAAAACATAACAACAAAACGACCCCCCTCACAAAATTAAAAAAAAAAAATTAATTGATACTTAGAATTATCATTTTCAAAGTCGTTCAGCATGAGTAAATATGATTGAATAAGCGCCTTGAGCATTTAATTAAAATGGATAATGGCGCTATATGAATCTTATGTATTATCATTATTAATAATGCAGTGTTCGTTCAACTGTGTGGTTGCTAAAGTCTGGGTGTATAAATTATATTTTAGTGCTTTTGTATATCAGAAAATTTGAAATATTAATTGACAATAACAAGGTTTTATGTGAATATTTTCCTTTAATTAATTCCATTGTTTCCAATATGTAATTTTAATGTGAATTTCTGTAAGGCTATTTGAGGCTGATATTTTGTACCTCGGTTCTCTGTCAATCGTTGTTGCATGTTTATTCATAATAAAACAATCTTCTTTATGGCATTTTCTTGCTTCTTTATCATTTTGTTCAGAGCAAAGAGAAAAGGAGTATTAGAGAACAAATATTTTCATTTGGAAAAACACAAACAAATCAGTCTTAAAAACTTGATTGTATTCCCATTCTGACACCATTTATTTCAAAGTGTTTTTGTTTCTTTATATATTACATTATCATCTACTAACCATTATATATACACAAATGCATGATATATCTCTTGATTCGTCTTTGATAATACAAAAGGCATTATTGTTAATAACACCAACATTCCATATCTACAATTTAACAAATAAAAACGAGATTACATCAAATTAGAAGAACATATATAATTTTTTTTGTTTTGCACTATGCAGCAGATTACACACACACAGACTAATACAATGTGAGAAAACAAACTAAAGAAAACAGCAATAGCATAAGAAAAGTGCGGTAAACATTTAACAGTCACCAATACAGATAAAAACGGACAGGGCTACAAGCTATAAAGGGTATCCTCATACTTTTTTTATCTCTGGGAACTAAAAAAACCCCAAAGCAATGGTTATCTGTTGTGTTCATGATCCAGAGTGTCACTGCTAGAAGCAAAGACTACGCATTCAAATGAATGTATGTAACTTTGTGCTCTTCTGAACTGTGTAAGGAGTAGGCTATGCCTGTCAGCCTTTACTACACATAAAGCTCTAGGTTTGATTCTCATCGCCCATTCAAGTTGTAATGATGCAGGCAACTTAAGTAGGTCATGTGCGTAACTAACACTTAGCAAATGTTTGTGACATTGACACTGATTTTGATCAGAAATGTCCCAATGAGTATAAAAATTAATCACGAAGCAATAAGCAGTGGATTCAAATTTAATTTGATTAATTCTTACTAGAAAACATTCACATGCGCAAATAACAGCCTTATAAATGTGTGTAAAAAACCAAGGCCTCTTTTGTTGATTGTAACCATTTTTGTTTCATACAAATGTACAATTATCTAGACTAAACCCACAATTTTATATATCAATAGATGAACATTGAGTTAAGGTCAGACTAAGAGTGACATTGACATGACAATTTTCCCCATAACATCAAGAGTGTATCAAGGATTGAATTTAATGTGAAATAGTGAATTAAAAATATCTATCTCTTTCACTCTCTCTCTCTATCTCTCACTTGCCCACTTACGTTTATTACTGTCTTTTGTATCACATTGAATATTTGGCAAATTGTATGAAAGTAGACAGAAACATAACTAGGAATGCCTGACAAGCAAATAACACATTAAAATTCCGCTATCAAGTTTATAAAAAACATTGATTGTCATATGTATACCAGTTTCAAACTGATTAATGTTTGGGTTGTATGCATAGACTGTACTTGATATTAGTCTCCTAAATGACACTTGGTAAATTATATGATTGGTCGAAAAGAGCGGGAAAGGAAGATGAGGGTTTCAAAGAATGAAAGATGAAAGAAAAAGTAGAAGGTGGAGAACAACAATTCTTAATAAATTTTCATCTACTCATGATGATATAAAATTAGTCCTATTAATTATACATAATAGAAAAAAAGATGAATTGTATTTAGACATGAAACCATTATTGTGATGACATAATGTGATATAACAAGGTTGCATAAGCTTCTAGAAGTATTCTCTTAAAAATGCAAGATCTCTATCCGAACATGTGAAAGACATGAATAGATGACATAAGTATAAACACAGACACATTTAGTTCCATTGGCATCTCATGCCCCTAACATTCAATGCTACATTTAATTGATAAAGAAAATCACTTACTTACAAGTATTCTTGGAATTACTTGAATGATGGTTTCATCTGCATACATAATACTAGGAATATGAATTTATTATGGGAATGTCAATAATATCTGATTCCAAATTTGAAATACATTTGTTTCCCATCTGTTATTCTTGTTTAATATTTCATCAGCAGAAATATACATACATTGAATCTCATAACAATTAAAAGTAAATAAAATTAATAACACATTCAAGTAAAATAAGCAAAATGAAAATACAAAGATAAAATTCATACAGCCATATTCATAAACATTAAGTTATATTCTTTCTCACATAAGCAGTCAGATAATGGATAAAAAGTTACAAACTCATCTTACAAAGCATATGGTTTTTGTTACATTTCTTGAGAATTAAAAAAATTACAAAATGATTTAGAGTAAATGCATGATTATTTATTACCTGTAAACAAAGTTTTTAAGTACTGAAATAATCTTTCCCATCATTGGCACTAGGTCTAAATAGGCTACAGGAAATAGAACATATCCCTTCAGGTTAGGAGGGAAATGGAGGAAAAACAGATGCAGAATAGCTCTAAAAGTACACCACTATTATACCCATTTAAGATGATTGCTTGATAAAGGTGCATTATTTGAATTACATTTACAGCTTGATAATAAAGTCTATGAAAGTCAAGTCTACAGAGTAATATTGTATCATTGTGACTTTTAATATCATTAATATCACATTTGCTGGTGACAGCATAGACAATGGTTGCTTTATACAAAATATAGTTTTCATCTATTTTTTCTCATGAGCAATACAATGACCAATTTAATTTACAAGATTATTCGAGGTATATTTTCCTTTATGATTTTTTTTTCTTCTTCTAAATACATTTCGGCATATAAAAACATGGGCCAGAGTACCAATCTGCTTAAATACACATTTATAAATTCTCTTTTTTAATGCTATACAAAATCTGGAAGAAAAGTGACATTTTATTTTCGTAGGAGACCCCTCATTCCATCACCATAGAAACAGGTTGGCAGACATCACACAAAGATAAGAAGCATAAGGATATATTAATTTCTTCATTAAAAAAACATTCTGATTTTGGAAATTAAGGGGACTATTTTTATAAGAGCATCATTTCAAACTCCTATAAATACCAATATTTCAGCTCATTTGTTTTTGTCATAAAATATTTCCAAATGGAAATGCATGATACTTTGACAGGTGACATACACCCTTATGCTACTTACCTTTTTGTTCTAGAAGATGGAGATCATTAGATCACATTCTACTTCAGAGCAACAAAGTCTCTTGAACCGATAAAGATTTATGAGAATTCTAAAGCATGGAGTACTATGTGAAGAAATAATCATAGCAAAGACTTTGGGTGCCTGCTGCATGCATGTATTGCTAAAACTCAAATTGTTTGGCACCTATGGAATAACATTCTGTCTAAGGAACTGTTAAGGAACATAGTTTCTGAACAGATTTATGACAAAAAATGAGTTCTTGGCGGCATGTTTGTGGTTCCCATCCAACCTCTTCATCCTCCCTGCAAAGCTATCATATAAGATCCCATGATCTACATGAGGCCTAACATGAGACATAACATTTAAAGTTACCAAAAGATATGTTGTGTGGACACACACTCGTACATATATAAATCTGAATACAATGTCTAAGAAGCAATGTTCAGGAGTAATTACTACAGGTAGGTGATTTTTTTGTAAACCTTAAAGTCCCATAATATTAAGTTCATGATGTTTTATAAAAAGGGGAGAAGCCAAAGAGCTTTTCTTATGCATCCTAGTATAAGAGATAGAAATGTTGACTATAATCTGCAATAAATACTTTGGGATGTGCACTATAAGAATAAATTTGATATACACTGTCATCTATGGGCTTGTTGCAAACATTTTCTTGGCTGCTTTCTTTTGTAGTTTTTCTCTTGCTTTTTGTTCCTTTTGCTGTGCTTTCTTCTCCTTCTCCACGCAGGCCTTCAGCTCCTTGACTTTCTTCTTGAATGTGTTCTTATCGTTTGTGTTCGTCACACCGATCGTCTGATCATCATAAGAGAAATGAAAGAAAGAACAAGAAGAAATCAGTAGAGGCATTGGTCAAAACGAATTGTAGTTATAATTTCTACCCTGATAACCAAATAAGTCCTTACAATTTATTTGACTTTTTGAAACTACCAGTAATAATATTCTTTATGTTCTTTATGTTAAGAATAACATGAAGCTTGTTATATCTTCATTATCTCAATTTTCAAACAATTTATCTCAATGTATACACAATTTTTTGAGGGAGTGTTACATTATGTTGTTTTTTTTACATTTGTTTTTGTTCACTTATAAGGGTGAACATTAAGTGAAGATCGAAGCAGAGAATATATCTCACTACCTTCATTTATAGCTTTCATGTTTTTTTTATTCAATCTTCATAAACTGTTAAACCTTTACAAAATTCCCCTTTTGTAGAGCCACAAAACAAATGAGTGTATTATATACCAAGTCACAGGATACATGATGCATACAATCTGCTGAGAGTCACAAGAGCATTTATTCAATTAAACCATTCCACCAAGAGTTGATGCCCTTCTGACTCTCAATGAATCTTATTGACCTTTGACCTATGACTACTAACCTTTAACCTTGCCCCGTCTAGCTGTAGCAGCATTTGTCCATTGATAGAGTTAGCTGAGAAATCATTGATGTACTGAGCTAGATTGTTAGCCATCAGCCACTGTGATACATGGGTTGTATTCCAGTCCCACACCGGTCGCTCGTCTATATGATGAGGCTTCTGGGTAGGTTCATCCTGAAGGATTATGGGATTGATTTCAGTTAACGATAGAAGACAATGAAGTCTCAATCAGACATTATTATCAAATTCTTATCTTTTAAATTAACAATTGGTTTCAATGTATCTTCCACGAGGCAACACTTCACAGATATAATTCAAGCATAGTCTTGGCCTTTCAATAGATATATATTTTTTTTAAATTAAAAATTGTATTACTGTATAGCATTAAAAACTGAGAAATATCAGCCCAAAGAGGGAGTTTACAAAAAAATGTTTTAAAAAAGAAAGAAGATTTCTGACCGACCGACCCTAAAGGGCAATACAACATTTCTTTTTTTTAGGCCTTATAGTGACACTTGCCATCAATGTTCTATGTGTGGATGTGATGCTACTGACCTGTGGTGGTGCTGAGATGCTGTATTTGCCTTTCTTCTTCTTCTTTCCTCCTCCAAACTCACCAGGCATACCACCAAGGTTATCTTGTGAATATGCTGAGAACATCTGTCTCTTCTCATCTAAGATAAGGCAATGTTATGACTTTTCATTCATCTTATAATCAACATCTTGCTGAAAACGATTGAATATTGATATTTTTAATGTACAGATTATAATTCCAATGCTATTCTTATGAAATTTCATAAATTCCATAGTTCTATTGAAAGATAATTTCACTAAAATTATTCTCAATATATTGTGCAGATTAAAATATTAACATTACATTTACCTTTTGAAGAAACATAATAATTACGGTATCATCTGTTAGGAGCCAGAGAAGGGCATTAACTCAATTAATTTAACACAGAGTTAACACCCTTCTGGCCCCAAACAGACGAAATAACTAGTAATATCATTCCAACCCAGACTAGTTTCATTAAGATCTATGAATGATTAACTTTGCGATTTTACCAATTTCTAAAATGTATCAACAAGACGAGTCATAGATGAACATGGAGAGCTAAGCGACATGATGATGATGAGCTTGCCACATCATAAGCACACAGCAAGCATAGCAGCAATTTAATGCGATCATGTTAATAACAAAGAGGATGGTACAGGCAAGATGAGCAAGAAATGACATACCAGTAATGAAGATGACATGCATGCATGATACTATCCCATGATACAGACAAAGCCAACGCACAAGATGACATGACAATGTGACATGGATTACAGCAAACGCAAACATTGCTGTAAAGCCTTGCTCAGGTATGACACAGTTTTAATGGTAGTGTTTTTTTTTTAATATGAAGATGTGCCCTGTCATTTATATACACATTTTGTTTTAAAGTGCTGCAGTTTAACACTTCAATCCTTAACAAGCTGTAATGGTAGGGTTGGATGGAACTACATTAGGACAATCCTCGTATTATCAAAGAATATACCTAATCCCAACACAAGTGCGCAAACTAATGCTGCTTTTATAGAATGAACCCAAAACTGTCCCAATTTGACCATTTGAGAGGTAAAGCAACACCTCTTACCGGTATATGCATTAAATGAATCCCTCATGTAGACTATAGGGCACCATTTGAATAATTATAAAATCCCTCTGAACAGAGATTCCATGAAATTTGCCTAGCAAGATGAAAGTATGCTATCCATTTATTTCATCATAAGAGGACAAAGCTCTTGAAATCACCAGTGACTAATATTGGTAATGCAAGAAAGAACCCTTACCTAATGGTTCAATCAAGAGATTTCTCATTTTTGGATGAAAGGAATAATAAATGGTCGCATGAGACACATTTCATATGATTATCATAAGATGGTTGTTTGTTTGCTGTTAATGAGAGAGCTTCATTCATACCTTGCTCCCTCTCATCATCAGATGAAAATGATGACAGAGATGAAGAGGAGGATGACCACGATGAGGAGAGTGAGGATGACGAGGAAAGTTTAGGAGCAGAGCAAGACGGAACACCAACAACACCACCTTTTGGGTTTTTACAGGAATGTTAGCGGAAAGACAGAAGACAGACAGATAGACAGACATGACCAAATACACAATGACAGATAGGTTAATAACGGAAAGGCAGAAAGAGTGATTTATAGTCTTCTACAGTGCCATTTATATTAGTATCTTTGGGGCATATCTTCACCAATCGATTGATGGTGAATCAAATTGCCAGTTCTTCCTCTTTTATCAGCTAGTCTTCCTGAATGATGAGTTAAAGTGAAAGAAAATATCCTTTGTCCACTATCCGAGATGAATAGATAAAATTCATTAGTATCATACTCACTAATTGTGTTAAACAATACTAAATATAAATGGCACTGCAGATATGCAACTTTAAGAAACATGCAGACTAATCAAAACATTATCATCCTTTTTTTCTATCACCAAAATTTTTCACTAAAACTAATTTTCTTTTAAAGTTCTATGTACATGAAACACACATAAATACTGCACTTGCAATAATCATGCACTTTGAGAGCAGGAAAGTTTGGCAGCAATGTGAAAACACAAAGCTAGTTGTTGAAATCATTTAAAGCTTTAATATTTGCACAAAATCTAGGCTTCTGGATCAGCATGAGCAGTTAAGGTTTCTTTTGTCAATGGGAGATTTCATATGCCTGTGGATCTTATCCCAATATATTTGTACAGTTGGATAGTATCAGGTGGTCAAATGATTTGTATTTGATGATGATATCTAGTTACATATAGGTCAAGAGAGACAGAAAATACAGTGGAATGGAGTTGAAAAAGTAATATATTAGAGATACATTTGAAAAGAGAAACTAATACCGGTAATGAGAAATTATGACAATTAGAAGGAGGAAATGGATGTTGTAGAGTTAAATTAAGTTTCTTATCATAAAAAGAAGATAACACGAGAGAGAATTCAGTTACAAAAAAAAATAAAAAAGGAAAGGATATAGGGAGAGAGAAAGTGAGAGAGAGGCAGAGAGAGAGAGAGAGAGAGAGAGAAGGGGGTATAATATGTGATTTAAGAAAATAGAAAAAGGATAGACTGTTCATGGCAGATGTGTTGGTTGATAAAACATTTACTGGAAATTAATTAAAAGAAAGAGAGATTTCACATGGAAACTACTAAAATACAGGCTGAGGAAACATAAAAAAGAACCTGCATAATGAAAGTAGCAAGATTGGCAGATCACAAGAAGTACAGATACAAAAGTTAAAGTAGCAAGGTTTTGTAAGATAGAGCACACTGCACACAAAAAGGAGAGGAAACATGGATTTTAAGAAAATTTGCTTTCAACCAGATCAGAGCACAAAGCAATCTTTAAGAGTTTCCAAGTATTCAGCTGATTACCCACTCCTGGATGCAGAGAGTTAAGAGTAGGTGAAATGCCTTGATACATACCTTGAGGAGCGTACATAGGAGGATCCTCAGAGCTACGACTACCCTGACTAGATAACTCAGGACTCAGCTGCTGATCAAAGGGTACATCTACAGCCCTCTCTTCATGTTTATGCCGGTGGTGGGGGCGAGATGAGACCAGGCTTACCCCTACTCCTTCTGGTGAAGACGATGAAGGGGACGATTCTATATGGGCACTTGTGTTTGGTTGCTGTAACCTGAACCAATCAAACAAGGAATAACGAATCAACTTATCATCCAACTACAGATCTAAGGAGACACACTGATTCAGTGGCTAATATCAGTGAGCTTAATAGCAAGCTTTGAAAAGAAGACAGTGTGCTAGAGCTCTTGACTTCATAATATTAACTTCTTGTATAATTCATATCACATATCTATCAATGTGCTTCCAAAGAGCTTTGGATGATCACCCCTGCTCAGCCTAGCTGCCCAGATGAAGGTACTGAAGCTTCAAGAAATCAATTCCTACTGGTCCCCATTTACTTTACTTGGGTCGAGTGTGGATCAATGTATATGTAGATTGATGTCTTGCCAAAGGATGTTAGTGCTTTGGTAAGGAATTGAACCACACACCTTGTGATCTGCAGTCTTGTGACATATCCACTAGACCACAACACCACTGATTTAGGTATCAATACTTGATTACCAAGTCATAGATAATAGTCATGGATAATAGTCATGAATAATAATCATGGCTAATCTATAACTGAGACCCATCTGTCCAGTGGATATAATAATTGGCTTGAGAGACAGAAGGGCTTCCACTCATATACTCTAACATCCTTCTGGCTCTCACCAGACAATACCAGGTGGTGGTCCCAAGTGTAAAGAATCATCTTTGATTGAGAGGATGAGAGACCCTCTAACTCTACCTGGTGATAATAAGAGCACTGACTTACCTCAAGATAGGCATAGCTGGTGGAAGGCCTGATGATGATGATGTTGCCGTAGTGACGGGTACAGGGACAGGAGATGGTGGACTCTGGTAACCTGAGGCTATGTGGTCTGTACTGTTATCTGGTTCTCTGTACACAGTCAAAGAAAAGGGGAAAATATTAAATTAGAACATCTTCTTTAATATACATGATATATATCGCCATGGTTACATAAATGAGGGAACATTGAGCTTGTAAAAGGAACATGGCATATACCTGTGGGACAAACAAAACAACATCTGGAGCAAAGAATTAATTTTAGGAGGGATGCAGAGTTCAGAATTGGTCAAACAAAAACAAATAGCAATGCTTTACTTTAAATGATATATGTTCAGCTTCATATACAATTTCTCAAATAGGTTAATTAGTAAATGAATATGACTACACAAAATGATAAAAGGAATAAATATGTTTGAACACAAACCAAAGTCTATTTCTTTAGAATAAATAATGAGTACTGCTACAACTGGAAGGGATACACTCTAGCATGAAGCATAAATACAAGCAATTAACTGCTCAACATGTATATAACATCTACAAAGTCTTAACAGGATAGATAACAGCAGTTATAACAGGAAAGTATGAAATGTTGATTTCTTCAACATTGTCGTCAAGCCTAGTAAACTATGCTAGAAGCGAGATAACTATTTACAACTAAATCCTTTGTAATATATGCTAAAAAGTATATTAAGTTACAAAATCATTATGAGCTTATAAATTGCATTCACCTGGGAGAACTACTTGATATGATTGTGATAATTCATCTGTCTTTTTTCTCATATTACATTTTTACGTTATTTGTTTTTGTTCCTTTTGAACAAAATAACACTAATCAGAGCAAAGCATCTCCAAGAACTTGAGAAAGCAAAAACCAATATCTCTATCTTGTATAATAAAGTAACCTTTAAGAAACAGAGATGAGTCTAAATCTAATTATACATAACACTGAAACATTACTTCAAATACTTAACATGAAGTATATAAAAAGACTTTGATTTTTTATATATGCATAAAAATATGACAAAAGAGCAAAAAGGGGAAATAAAACAACACAGGATTATAGCTTTGCAACCATATAAAGGTACATGTTTTTACTTTATAAACAGCTGATGATACAGCTCTCTTTGTAGGAGACACTTTTATTCACAGCAGTCATGCATGAATAATATCTTAAATGATCTAGTATCTTTAGGGAATAAATACGCAAATTGGCAAAGCAATGTGGAATAGCGGCAGCAGGATACACTGACTTAATAAAGGTCAACAAACTTACGGGAAATAGTGTCGGCTAAATTCAGAGTGGAGATAAATAGTGGATGCAAAGTTTATTGTTTTGATTAATATATGATGAAAGTGAAGAGGTATATGTTATATATTGTGGCTAATCTTATAACATACACATGACATCTGGGATAAAGGGATCAAGAGATGATAAAATCTGTGTTAATTCCCCTTACAAAATACAATAAATCATTAGTATACAATACTGACATGAGTAACACACAAGTGACTCCTAACTGTAATATAAACACATATAAAAAGACTGCAAATTTATCTATAGTCTACCACATATGATTATAATAACGATTAGATTCTTGAAAAGTGCCTGAACATCAGCCACGCTGTGGCAACCAAGGCGCTTTAAAATTATTCCGGCTTTCCGGCTTTCACTTGTGCAATCACAATCTTCCCTGGGTAAAAAGAGACAATTGCACAAAAAATGCCTTGTCTATCTGATTTGTCTAATTTTTGGCATTATAAAACTTACCCACCATTTACATGACTTCTTAAATTGTTATCGTATATATATATATATATATATATATATATATCATAAATCCTAGTTAGGGGCATGTTTACATATCAAACTTAAAAACAACATTCAAACTCGCACAATACACAAAGACATTATATTATAGAGAAGACACACAGTAATACATGTACATGGACCATCATACATTCTAGAGTTCTAGTTCTGAAAAGTTCAAATATCTACATTATAAGTTGTGCCTTCCCACTCAACTTTCAAATGAAAGAATATTTACTTTTCACGCTAATAAGAGTAATAATTGAATACTTGTGCTTAAAGTTAGATTATATTTAGTATATCATACTACCCCCTTTTGATAAACAAAACTACTACAACAGCAATTACATGTACTATGACAACTACTGTGACTACTACTACTTCTATTACTACTAATACCACTAATACTACTACTACAACTCCTGTTTTTATTGTAATTATCATAAGAGCTACTTACTCTACCTTTTTAAAATTTAATATTTACATTTTCTATCATATTTTTGTTAAGTTTTAATTCATTGATTTATTTGTGTTGTAAAGCGCTTTGATCAGTTCTAAATTGGATATAGCGCTATGAAAAAAACAATTTATTATTAGCATTATTATTATTTCTTCTTATTTTTCTAACTCATTTGTTTCTAGCATCCTGGATCAATCTTTATTTATGTTCTTGACTTTATCATACTACACCCTCTTAGACTATTAATTTCTACTATTTTTCATATTTTATAATTATCCTTTCTTAGCAATATTCATCTTACTACTGTTTTTTAATTCAACCCTAGGTGTGATATCCTAATTTTAATATTACTAACACTATACACTGTATACACCATATACAGCACCATACAAAACACAAAACATACACTGTACTAGATACATCTAGGTACACACTACAAGACAGAGAACATGCATTCCTATAATACTGACATCATATATACATGTAAGTTTATATTTGGTCACTCTGCACTGAACTGCATATTTTCCATGATTTAGAATCAGTTGTTCTTGGGTTAATCAGTGTTGCTGCTCTATCAGAAACACCTTGCTCCAATATTTGAATTATAGTCGTTGATAAGAGAAGGTTCAAAATAAAGAAATGATTTCCTGACCCTTTAAAAGTACTAATCAATAAGACAATGCAGTTTAAAGTAATTCTCTCCATTTTTAAATTCTTTCCATGAGGGTGAATTCAGCACAAATCCATTTTTAAAAACAAAGTTAAAAGAATAATGAAAAGCTTTAAGGAGGAAGAAATTATCATTGTCTTTAACATAAAGATGGAAATGGATGTATAAACACAACCTTTCATTATTTTTCTTTTAACTTGCTTTCTATGTCTATTCAGCGTGATAGGAGGCGCGATAGCTCAGTCGGTATAGCAGTGGTCTCGTATTCCGGGGACCCGGGTTCAAAACCAAGCTGATGCGCTAGTGCCCTTTGGTAAGGCATTCATCCTCATTACCAGGTCCCTCGGAGAGGACCTAAAGCCGTTGACCGTCTGGTTGCTTACTTACAAGCATTTATGCTTTCTTAGCAGTCAGGTAAAATAACCACCACCAAAAATTGTCTAGATATGTCTGGATTATTACTGCCGATAACATTTTTAATTTATCTGAATGATATCTGACCCATTTCTGTCACATCATTTCCATCATTAGAGCAAGGTATTTTGATATTATCTTTGTTTGAGGTAATGCTTATTTCTACAATCTTTTTATTCAGCTTTCACAAGACACAAAGTGCGCACATCCATTTTGCTGATTTTCTTTTACCTTCTTATCCATGGGTTGTAGTAGATTCTGTACAAATTGTTACATAACAGGATCGAAAAAATACACAGATACAAAGAAAGAGCATTTAACAAACAAGAGCTTTAGACATGAACAGAGATTACAGGAGCTAGGTGTTAATTCATATTACCAGAGCATCGATATGTTTATTGAAAGAAAAGTGTTTTACATACAGGGTAGAGAAATGAATGAGCCAAAGAATACATACATGGATATACATTGTGAGTGGCATTGGCAGTGTGATGGGAAATCATTATGCCATAAAGCTTTAAAAGTTTATCTTTAGATCATTTTTGAATAGCAATTATAACGAAAATGAGCATCAAGGCAAAATACCTTTGGGAATATAATTACAAATATTAGAAATAAATGGTTTGAAATTATTGGTAATGCAAAGAGACAGCTATAAAGGAATGTAAGACAAACATAGAAATGAGATTATAAAATAGTGCTATAAAATAACCACAATATTAGTATATGAACCACGTGACAATGAATACAGACTTATAGAAAGAATCTTGAATCTAGAATGAAGAACAAATGAATTGAATCACTGAAATCCTTACAAACATATTTATGAATAACATGGGAAAAGTTTAGAGACATTTCATTGCTACGAGGATAGAATGGACTCACTTTTCTGACACTTGAGGGCGTCCCATCTTTGGTGACCTTGGAGGTGAACTCTGACCTTCGTCTCTGAACCTGCCAAGCTTCGGAGAGGCCGGTTGATTACGTAATACCTCGCTGGGTTTGGTAGTACCAGGGGGCATTGTGGGAAGGACACGTACCATCTGCGTACGTTCCATTGGCTGAGGTTTCTTTGCTATGATTGGTGGGCTTTCTTTCGTAGGTACAAGTTCATCCATTAACTGATTGGATAAAAACACAAATCATATCAAGATAGCATATAGAATATTTGTTTTACACATCACCTCTATACTGGAATGCGCCCTGTCTGTAGAACCGACATTAGTACAATTAACACTAACACTATATCATATCAACACCCAACTCTGCATTTGATAATGCCTTCTCTACAACCATCATTATTGCAATTAACACTAACACCTTATCATGTAAGCACCCACCTCTGAACTGGATTGAGCCCTGTCTCGTAGATGTGAGAGTGAAGGTCTACTTCTCCTGGCCAATTGGCTGTCAGCGCTGGTTACCAAGGAGATCTTCGACCTCTCTACGCTCGTATCGAGACGCGATGAGTCGGGCATCAAGGCATTAAACACCTGGGTGTGGAAGACAAATTAAAAACATCAAATCAAACTCTAACAACCTTCTGAAAAAATGACTTACATCTTTTACTCAGAATCTGCTAACAAAAATTGTTTCACATAACTACAATTCTTCTTTTACTTTGTCATACTATAAATGACAAGACGTCTTTCAATGTGTTAGAGTTTATTCAGATCTTTGAGTCTTGATCTGATATTATATTTTTAAAGAGGACTACAGTTTGCCAGAAACTGAATCTCTCTAGACTTCTAAATTTAATTAATATTATGTATTATGCCACATCGACTTATTAAACCTGTGTGAAATATGTTGACCAAGGCCTTCAATTACATGTGCTGTTAGTAAACTAAGGAGGTAAAGGGTTCACAAAGATGAGATCAAGGATTAGAAAACAGGTCTCAGTAATAGAAGACCAGAAACTGAACCACTTGACCACCAATTCACATCTTCCTTGTTGACTGAAAAACCTTCTTTACTGAATTGATCAACAGCTGTCTTTGTCCACTTAATGGTGCTTTTATCATTACCTCTTATTTTATAAATTAAACAAGGTCTGTGTCTTCTACGCAAACTAACCTCATAGGCCATTTCACTACCTAGTCCTTCCGTCTCCTCCTCCTCCTTTTCTTCTTCCTCTTCTTCATCGTCATCTGGTAACCCTGAGATATGATACGTTCCCTCCGTCCCTGAAAGATCACTGTCCGATTCATTATCTGATTGATCATCGTCATCGTCGTGTTCCTGAACACGAGACGAGGGTGGAGCTGACTGGAGGGGAGCTGATCAGAGAGAGAGAGGTAAGAAGAGAACAGACCTTAGATCATCAGGAGGGTACGTAACCATGGTAATGAGTTCAATGGATGAGACAGGCAACATACACTACATAATTCCACATATGGTTTAATAAAGGAACCCGTACCTGGCTGAATTCATGAGAATATTGAAAACATCTGGAAAAAGAAGTTACAAGCAAGTGAAAATTCTAATAGCAAAAATAGAAACAGTCCAAGTTAACAGGCCAGATGAGGGGGGGGGGGGTGGATCTCAAAATATTGAATACTTTTCCTGGCATTTCATGAAACCTTATGAAAAGTTTCCAACTATAAGTTAAGTAACAGTTTTACATGATATTATGTGAATCCTTTTCCATTTTTGAAACTACATAGCTAAATGTGATTTAGAGAAGGTAGTTAAACTCTCTTTCTACATATATTCTAAACAACTCTAAGACAATATATGGTCTGCTGAGAAATAAAAGGGTTTAATTTTGATCCTTTTACACAGAGTCAGCATCCTTCATGCTCTCTACAGATATAAGATAATTTATCTGATAAGAGATTGACTTTAATTAAAATCAACAATGTACCTGTGTGCCCTGCATACTACCTCTGAACATATTTTCCTTTAAAGGAGCTACACAAAGAAAATTCACTAACAACTCATAATTAGAACAAATTACATATGGATGTAAAGATTTTCTCTTGAAAAACACGAATAATTTGCTGAGAAATCATTAGATATTATGGAAAGGAGGCGTAAAATGCAATTTTTCAAGACTCTTCTTAGACCCCCAAACGCCCCTGAACGTAAGCCAAACACACAAGCATAGCGAGCTCTGAATAGTGACGTCACACACTGGACAAACAAGCTCAGTGCCGTGTAGCAGTATGCAGCTAGCCAGCCGTGTCCCGTATGTGACGTCACAAATATTGACGCTCTACAAAGGACCGCTGAAGGCAGAAAACCTGGATCTCAAAACTAACATTTTTGAGAGTTGATTACTGCGGGCCCCAAACATATTTTGAAGAGAAGAGTTGTTGTATTTGATCGGTAAGGCTTTCCCTTCACAATGATACGAGTTTTGCATCAATTCAAAACACTTTTGATTCTTCGTGTGACTACTTTAAAACCCATTATGTCAACAAAATACATGTGAACTTTCCTATTAAACCAATGAAACTAGATATCCACCTCCTGTGTTATAATAACACTGCAAAACTACTTGACATCAGGGGAGGTTTCTCAATACTAACTGTAAATATAACAGGTTATCTTCACACACTATCAACAAGAAATACCGTGTCTTCTGTTACCTATTTGTTAATTTCACAAACAACATACTGGTAGATGGGTTATTTTCTACTCCATATCTACGTGTTTTCAAATTCTCTTTAAGTGTCATTTCTTCTGTGGTCTAAATATATAATTACAAAGTTGTCATATTCAATAATATTTTGATCTCTACCTACTGGCTAAGTAGTATTAATTAATCAAATAATTCCAAGACAGCCCCAATTATTTTTCTTTCTTGAGTGATGAAAAAAAAGCAACAAGACAAATGAAGCAAAGTTGAAAGAATATCCTTGCTGAACAGCCCTGTATATGACTTTGAAACTAACAAAAGTAAAGCATTGAGCTGTGATTTATGTCCATAAATATTCTGCAAATTCAACATAAAACACATACCTATAGTGTGTGACATGCTACATGTAACAAGATAACAACTGATGAATACATGAATATATCAAAATTAAAATAAACATAAATGATTGGACTGGGTCACTGGGGTATGTGGGTACATGGGAGGCAAATAGGAGTCTGGTAGGAGAATATTGTACGTTGATTTTCTGTTTAAAAAAAAAACTTGTAACACATCTTTCAACCCAACCCTTTTGATGGAACTAGTAAATTAGTATTAACTTATCACTTACTCTGATAAAAGGCTACATCAATAAGTAGGCCTTTAAAAGTTTAGTTAAATGATGCATCTCTGACTTACTAATCAAATCTTTGACATCCAGAAATTGTGCAATAACTTAAATCCCTAGATTTTGTAAATGGGTATTGATGTATTCATTCTAACCTATTCCACATTTTTTCAATATTATACAACAAGGCCCTGTTACTGTGAAGGGATTTTAGACTCAGAGTGTATACCATTTATATAATTTAATATGTTTGTTATAGAAAAATGTATGACATCTAACAATTTGTTGGAAAAAGGATTTGATGTACAAATAGGGCAATGTGCAATGGAGGTTGAAAGATTCCTACAAACATGCAAACTAAACATCAACCAAGTCAAGTCATTCCACGATCATTCCACCTTCATAGGTCCAAATCAAGACACACATGCCATGCATTGGAACTGGTTGGATCAAGTCAATAGCTTATGACTCGATCAGCTAGTCATCTTGACTCGTCTATTACACTTTTAGCTTCTTACCACAAATAAGATGGCCCATGTCGAAGTCCCATTCAAAGTCTGTTTATTTATGAATTACATAACAAGTGTTAATCAGGAGGAGGATGATGATGATGAGATATATATCATGATTCAAAATGGAGGAGAAATATGGTGAAATGAGAGAGAGAGAGAGAGAGAGAGAGAGAGAGAGAGAGAGAGAGAGAGAGAGAGTCAGAGAGAGACAGAGAGAGAGAGACAGAGATAGAGAGAGTCAGAGAGAGACAGAGAAAGAGAGAGAAAGAGAGAGGGAAGATGAACTTATAATAATTAACTTGCAGAAGAAGAAGAAAAGAGATTAGAGGAATGTTTTCAGAACATCCGAGGAAAAAGATTCAATTAAACAAAAGGATGAAAAAGAAATAGAGATGAAAATAATTAATCATTATAAGAATGAAAGAAAAAAAATAAAATGAGATAGATGTAGATATAGAATGATATAAGAATATGAAATAGCAATATACAAGCAATGTGGCATTATCAGGTGAAGACAAATGTAACTATTTTAACATTTTAAAGTTTTTCATTAACAAATGTTGAATCACCCATGTATTTGTTTCATAATGTTATATATTAGCAAGACATTTTGAAAGTTTTAAAGCAAAGGTTTATTATTGGTGTGTTAAAGCAAAATTTTGCTACTTTTTAAATTTTGTTTGGTAAAAAATTGTTGTGCAATTGTTTAACATGAGTGGAAAAAGCAACATGAAACTGATATATACTACACTTCATGTTTAGATCCCTTGTTGACCATACATTGCGAGACAAACGAATGTCACTAGCGATATTATTTTCGATACTATATCAGCAATGAATAATATATTTAGCATTCCTGTATATTCTTTGCTATTTACTGCATATCCCAAGTGAATACTTGAGGAATGATTTGGCTTCATTGCATTTTAAATCTCTAATAGTACCGTTAAAATAGAAAGAAATAAAAGAAAGCATATGTATGAAGTAGTTTGCAGTATGTAAGAGTTAGATTTGCTTTATCAATGTAAAAAACAGTAGAAACAATAGGATGTGTTATGAAAAAGCCATTAAAACAATGAGTCAAAAGCTATTTAGTACAGAACAAAATACATGAATTGAAAAGACAAATTCAGAAGGAAGAGCGTTGTACATGAATTGACAAAGTAAACAACGGCATAGGACAGAGATATATTGCAATTGAGAAAATAGATATAGAGATAGATGAAAAGTAGATGAATGAGGTTTGTGATAAGTGGACATATATTCAACAATAAGATATTAAATATATTAATATGAATGTCATCAAAACATAAAGTTACATGTATTTCACCAATATATCAACCAAACAAAAAAATAATGTATTCTTGACTATAAGCATGTATGTTATGTTAACTGTATTTAAATTATATATCAGTATTGTGACTATCGTTTCTTCAAGATATTTGACTCTTGAAAAAATTGAGAAAAATTAGTCTCTTGTTTCACATGGTAATAGTCATGATTGCTTATTAAATAATGTATTTAAAAATCTGAAAATGATTCTGATATGAAATGTATTAATAACACGACATTAAACATGATACTGTATACATGGTAGAGTATACATAAGGATACTGGACAGCAACAAACATCTTCCTTCAAATACAATGAACAAGGCGATACAAAATAAACATATAACAAACATTGTTTAATAAAATCAACATTATGATGGAAGCAGTTTAAAGAAAAGCAAAGCAGAGCAGAGGTAGAAAACAGCTTTTGTTTGACAGACAGATGGCGATGGAATAATTAAATAATAAATAGTTGATTTAATGACATGTTAGTTGAAAGAGAGAAAGCTTTTTGTTGTCATTTTTGTTCTGTTATAGTCCCTTTGCTATTGCTGTCATGTTGCATTCTGTGTCTTTAGATTCTCTACATGTTCTTTCATCTTTATATCTTGAATGTTTTTTATTATTTTAAGAAGGGGAAGGGATACATTTCGGAAGACTAAAATTATCAAAACAAACTCTAAGCACTTATCTGGTATCAATGTTGTAGTACAAATCTCAAATGACAGGTATCAACCAAAAACAAAAACAAAAAAGTTTTAAAAGATTTCCTTCACCTCAATTTTAAGTTGACTTAAACCTCTCTAGATTCTTCTTAGTCATGATGGTGCATTGTAACACACAAAAAACTTTTCAATCATCATTTATACAATTTATGATAGCAGGAACTGCTAATGTTTGTGCATGTATCCTCACTGATATTGAAGTAATATTGAGTCTAGGGCATGCAAAAAGGTACATGAACTGAACTCGATATTACTCTAATTGGTTTTTTAATAATTCATTTAATACGTAAATTGTTCAGTTCCTTTATCCACCTCAATCCTATTTTCGTTAACTCTATAAAAGGTATTCAATAACAAAGTAATGACTTAGGAATTCAGGACTGTGCAGGGGAATTAAGTTCATTTATAAGAGCAAGAAAGAAGTTAGTCAAGCAAGGAGCAGTTATATAGTGCAAGAAGAGCTTAAATGCATCAGGCTTGAAATAAGGAAAATGCGAATGCAGGGAAGTAAACTAATTCTATGTTTAGACATTCCCTCACAAGTAGGAATCTTTCCTAGTTTATTAGTAGCATCAAGAAATCTTTTTATCCTCTACATCTCTAAAATCCATGTCTAATTCACCTAAATTTAAGTAACCATGTTATCAACCATTTTAATCAAAAACTCATATTTTAACTATCCGATTTCCACAGTACCAAAAGTACCATTTGTATCAAACTATTTTTTAGAAAACTTTAAAGAATGTCATTGACTATAAACTGTGTTCATTACAGAAGAGAGGATAATGCATTTTTCAATAGCTGAACTATATTTAAAAATAGTAGTATTTTAAGGAGCAAAGATTAGAGAAAGATGCGCTTTGGTTAAAAAGAGTTAGACAAGAGTTCAAGAGCAGTTAGTAGGAGAATACACTGGCTGATTCACATTAATTTGATTCTAAGTATTAATTTTCAAATTTTCCAAGGTTGGTCATTTAAAGTCCACACCAATTCTCCTTTCCCATTGCCTTTAAAGTGAAGAGCATTAATACATGAATTTGATGAGCTAAACTGGGTCACAGCTCGGTGTCGACCCTGAGCTAGATATGTGTGAATACAGCCAAGATTCAAGGTTAGTAGTTTAGAATCAGAGTTGGTTAGTTCGTGATCAGAGCTGAAAATGAAGAAGCTTGCTCAGTTAGGAGAGTTTATTTCCATGGCATACCTTCTGATGTTTCATCTACTATCAATTCCTTTCCCTGTGCTTCCAATATAGCTTCAAAAGATGGAACCTGCGCCTGCCTTAGAAGTACAACATCTTCATCTAGAGGAGGGGGAGGAAAGAGGTTTTACAACACACCACAGAAAGAAAAATGCAAGAGTATTTAAAGAAAGGAATGCTTGGTTTAGATTTCTAAAGTAGACTAAGTTTTTTTTTAAAGAGTACAGTTTCGACAATCAGTGGCTTTTAGAAATACTGTTGTAATGTTGGCTGAAGTAATCATATCTAAGTAGATGCTGCTGCTGCTGCTGATGATGATGAAGAAAATGATGATGATGATGAAGAAAATGGGATGATGATGATAATGACAATGATGGTGGTGGTGGTGGTGTTGATGATGAAAATGATGATGGTGAAGATGGTGGTGGAGGTAGTGATGGTGACAATGATGGATATTGATAATGATGATGATGGTGAAGATGATGATGATGAATGATATGATATTGATCATGATTAATTTATGATGATGACGCCGATTAACTGTGAAGACCAATGGCGAACACAATGACAATGATGACAAAACTGATGATTGTGATAATAATAATGAAGTTTACAAGTGGTGAAGCGTATGACTTCAACTTTGCACATTTTTGTCTGAGCAAAAAAAATTAACAAAAACAAAATATTGAGGGGGAAAAATGATATTAAACCTTTTGTGCATACATCTATAAGCAATGCAAACCACACTTAACTAGATCTATAAATAAATATCTTTGAAATATTACTGAAAGAAATCTAAAAGAGT